TAGGAGTTGCGGCTTTCAGAGTGTCCGCCCCGTCCGCGGTGGAAGGGGGCGGCGAGGCGCGCGGGCGCTTCTCGCGCCTCGAACGCATCGTGGGAGCGCGGCGGCGGTGGCAGAGAGGGCACATCGGGAGACGCGGGAGACCGTGGCGCGTGGGGAGTGTGGCGCGCGAGGGCGGGGACATGAAGGCGGGCATTGCGGCGCAGGGGATGTGGGCGAGGATCGGAGGGATGTGGGAGGGGGAGGCTGTTACTGAGATGATTGCCAGCGGGGAAGAGGGATGGTCCCGGGGAAGGGGGGATGGGTGGCGGCTTGTGGCCATTGAAGATGGCAACTGCGATGTGCGATTGGAGGGGGAGGCGGCAGGGGGGAATTGTGGCCAATCGTTGCATGTTGGGCGGCCAGTATAGCCAATCAAAGTGCGGGGGTGTCGTCACCACATGGGAGAGATTTTCTGTTCTTCTGGGATCTTCATCACGTTGCTTAACGCTTCTTCCACCCCCACCTTGACGAATGCTCCCTTCTGGGATCTGTATGCACCCTTGGCCCTGTGCAACTCAACTCGTCTGCGAAGGGCTAGGTCCAAGTCAACATCCCCCTCGCTTCCGGCATCCGTGCTACCCCCCCGAACCGTGTAAACATCACATCCGTCTAGTAGAAGAACCAGCGCAAAAAACCCCCACCCATCCACGCTTCGAAACTGCTCGCCACGCCTGCCCAAACCCCGTTGCCCGCCGCCGAGACCGCCCTATGGACGCAGCCACCGTCTCCCAGGCGCGCGCCCTTCTCCCCCGCGGCGCCATCTACGGCGACTGGGCGGCATCGGCCTTGCCGCTGCCGCACGCTTCTTCCGCCCCGTTCCTCGCGCCCGTGCACAACCGCGACACCCCGCACCAGCACCTTGCGCGCTGCGCCCTGCGCGCCTTCCTCGGCGACTCGGCCCACGCTTTCCACGTCATCTTCACGTCCGGCGCCACGGACGCCCTGCGCACCCTCGCCCACCGCCTCCCGTGGGCCCCCGCCGACGCCTTCGTGTGCCACGCCCACGCGCACAACGCCGTCCGAGGCATCCGCAACGAGGCCCTGAACGCCGACGCCGCCTTCCGCTCCGTCACGTCCGCCAGCCTGGAGCGCCACCTGCGTCGCACGCCCCACCCATCGACCCCGACATGTCCCGCCGACGCGGAGGCAGAGGCCGCCCGCCCACCGTTCGCAGTCCTCGCGTATCCGGCAGAGTGCAATCTCACGGGAACTACCTTCCCGTTCCGCTGGGCTCGCGAGGCGAAGCGCTGCGGCTTGTACTCGTACTCGGGGGAGCAAGTGATCACGTTGCTGGATACGGCAAAGCTCGCAGCTTCATCCCCTCTCGTCCTTGACGACCACACCCCATACGTGGACGCCGTCGTCTTTTCCCTGTACAAGCTTTCTGCAACTTTCACCGGGCTAGGCGCACTTCTCGTGCGCCGCGACTCGCTCCTCGAATCGCTCCTCAAGTCCACCGCCGCTTCTTCGTACTTCGCAGGAGGCCTCTCTGTCGACGCTGTCTCGCCGTTCTCTCCACGTCTTTTCGCACCGTCCGCGGATTTGCGAACGCAGCTCGAACTGGGCACGCCCAATATCCAAGCCATCCACCACCTTCCGTCGCAGCTCGCCCGCTTCTCGCCGCCGAGCATCGTCATGGCCGGCATACACGCCCATGCCGCCGCGCTGGCAGCCTTGTTTTCTAGTCTTCTCACCGAGGTTTTTACGCCGCGAGGGGTGAAGATTCACCGTGACGCGGGTCTACCGGCGGACGAGCAAACCGCCAGCACTGTTGTGGCCTTCACTCTATATCGCATCGAGGGACGGTCGAGACAATGGCATCCCATCGGACACAACGAGATTGGCACCATCTTGAAGCTGAACAACGTGTACGCGCGTACGGGGTGCATGTGCAACGCGGGGGCTTGCTGCTCGGTGCTGGGTCTTACGGACGTGGATGTTGCGGCCCATTTTGCGAAGGGGCATCGCTGTGGGGATGCTATGGACGTCATTGATGGCAAGCCCACGGGCCTTGTACGCATCTCTTTCGGGTGGGGTAGCCGCTCCTCAGATGTGCATGCTATACTTAACGTCTTGCGGAATCACATCAGCTATTCCGTGTACGGGTCCCTCGGTGAAGTGGACTTCGGCACCGCCCCGAGCTTGTCTCATTTTGTCGTACGGTCACTCCATGTCTACCCCGTCAAGTCCTGTGCCGGGACAAGTGTCAAAAAGATCACATTTGATAAACGAGGGGGTATTCTCGGGGATCGCCGTTTTGCAATACAGCAAGCTGGATCTCAAGCCCTTCTTAGCCTTAAAACCTGTCCAATATTGGCCGACTTGACTGCGTGGTTAGCCAAAGACGAGACGTGCCTCGTGTTGGAACTACACAAAAAGCGGGTACTACCCGGAATGCCTCGAAAGATGGCAATTGACCTAGGCATAGATTCGTTGACCCCAAAACTACAAAGCATGTCATTGCCGTCTCCAACTACAAAGACCAACCACTTGTCGTCAGAGGAGCATGAAGCTACGGGAAAGTCAGCAGTTGGTGGAGAGGAGCTGTCACAGTGGCTCAGCTCAGTCGCAGGACGACCAGTACGTTTAGTACGCTTGGCGTCTCAATGTTCGACCACACCAACGAGCTGCAAGACTAGTGAGGACGTGCTAATAGTGTCAGAAACGGAGATTGAAGAGCTACGATCAACAGCCGGAATAGATGATACCGCTGTGGTGCGTGAAGCGCTTCGTCCGAATATTGTTCTTGGCCCCGCCTTGGAGGGCACGCGGGAGCAGTACCAAAGTCATCCCCCAATGAACGTTTTCAAATCCTTCAATGCTGACGGCCTGCACATGGTCGCGAAAAGAAGTTGTGTACGATGTACAGTTGTAAATACAGTTGCCAGTGCGAGAGGGTTCGACTTGCGAGGTGAACCGTTGAGGTCAATCGCTAGAATAAATCGACGACGTCAGCAAAAGGGTTTGGTCTTTGGAGTGTTAGCAAAAGCGGTACCAGATGCAGGGGATGCGCCACATCATCAACGCATGTACATTCCTACTCATCTTACGTTAAATCAGGAGGTCACCGGCTCATTTAGGGACAGTAACAATTGCTCTGAAGGGACCCGAAAGTCTTCCAACGCACTATCATATGAGCACGAAGGATGAATCCCAACATGACATCAATAAATATATCAATACCGAAAGACTTGTACAAACTAGAGGCTTCAATTTGTACGCAATACTTCTCAACGCTGCGTGTGCTTCAGTAGAGTGAGTTATCGAGAGTGAGGAGGAGCCATGCAATACCATAGGAAAAGACAAAACGCTCTTGAGTTGTTAAGAACGAAGGGACCTAGACAAAGAATTAAAAAGTTGCATTAGTAATCGCAAAGTGAATCAACAGATGTCTTCATTAGGGCTGAGTCATCGCCTAAACGATGAGGTCAATCCTGACAGTTAAGCATGGTCTCCAACTCCAAGAGATGGATTGCCTTTTCCCATGCGGTGAGGATGGCAATAAGAAACTTCTTTTTCTTCATATCTCACTACTTTTTCAGGGGCGGCGTATAACGCAACTGTTATGAACCGTAAAGCTGCATCGCCCCATCGATGGCGGAAAATTCCACCGTTAGCATCGACCACTCTTATCCAGTCTTGTATTCCTGCATGTGATCGGAAGAAGCGAAGATTGATGAGCTCGAAATGGTTCTCGAATTTGGCAACACACTTCTTATGCCTTGTGCTGCTCAAAGTAGACCACAGGTTTTTTCTTCGAGGGGTTATTCCGTTGACCTCAATGAAAGATTCTGCAAGCTCACGTAATCCTGTTGTGTAGTTTTTGCTGCAGTCTTGAGCAATACGTTGGTATCCATATTGGGCACCAGAAAGAACAAAATCATTGAAAAAGTCTCGCCCCATGCGATGTGTGAAGGCTGTGTCTGAGTCCAGCCGAACGATATAGTCAAGATCACTAAGAGGGGCAGCTTTGGACGGGTCTGCTAGAATGGCCGAATAGAACCAGAATCGGATCATTTTTTGGTATCCCCAAGGTGTTCGTTTAGAGAAAGTCGATATCTCATTAGAGAGGTTTAGAGTAGGCGGACCATCAAGTGAGAAGTCGCGAAACTCAATGGGAGCTTCGCTTAATGATTGTACTCGGCCTTGAACAACTGGAGGGATACCCTCATGAACAACCACGATTTTATACGCCATCCCCGGTGCCGAATACTTGTTCAGACTTTGAATGCTATATCCGAGGTGGTCGATGTCTGACTTGTTGGAGCTAACGAGATAAACAAATGCGCATCGCTGAGCCAGACTTTCAGCTCGCATCTGCCGTGAGTTTTCGATCTGCACGGAAGCAGAGACATATCCCACAAGAACGAGGAATGAAACAAGAGTGACAAGATGTGGCAGTGTCCAAAAAATCTCCATTCTATCCTTGGTCTCCTTTTTCCAGAAGAGGTCCCTCACTGCGCTCACACTTTCACGCATCTTTGAAGATGCTTTTGGAGGATCCGACCCCACTGTCCTCCTCAACTTGCCTTTCTTAGTTCTTGCCATATGAAATTTGAATACAGCTTCCTATCAGACACTTTTTAAAGGAATTGTTTGAGTCGCAATGCAGGACAATCGCAACATCAGGAGACCACGGGCCACATGCAGGGCTAATTGGGTTTTGTCGTCAGAAAGAAGCCTGCCTTTCCAAAATTCTTTGAGCAGATTCACTGGCCACGTAAAAAAAAGACTCTAGCTAGAAGAGCAAAAGCCTAAACGACAGTACAGTCCACCTACATCAAGCTCCCTGATATTTGATTCCAGCTAACACGCGGGGCTTGGAACTGTGATTTCCTAGTTTTGAGTCTGCCAATATGAAAATTTCGGGCTCTAGATTCATTACAACTCGGTTGCTCAGGAATTAAGCCCTGCAGACACGTCTGTCCATTCTACAGCATTTCGCAGACGATCTGTCCAGCAGGGTATGATGTGAAGAGCACCGGGAATTCTTTTTTGGCTATGGATTTTCTCCGAGCAGATGTGGAATTAAGTACAGTACGTAGACCACAGCACTACGAAGATCGAGCACCGTCGAAAACTGTGAATTCATTTACGGTGTCTGAAGAGAAGTACTTATGGAAAATTATTCAACCTTAGCGTTTATGCTGATGGGCGACACAATAGAAAAGTACGAGCATTGCAGTGTCGCCTTCTGGATGAAGACAATTCAGGTTATATTGTAGATATGTACATACCGAAGCGGCCTATCCGACGTTATCGGCCGTGATATGATTTCAATCTTTCGAGGTACCAACAAAGATGAAGAAATACCGTCTGCTGGCATATGTGCAAGTATGTTACTAGTACACGCATAACACAGGAGAAGCGCATAGGGCCCAAATGCAGTAGAAGCGTTCATCTGTAGACTCTTTCTGCAGAACCCGACGTCCTAAGCGCAAACACCGTTCCTTCGTCCGCCTCCCTTCTACATATTATGTTTTGCCGGGTATATTATGTACCTTATCCGTTCAAATTCCGACGAATAACCGCAAGCGATTTGCGCTGAAGTCCTCACCTCGTGATTGCTACACGCAAGGTAATTTGCATATGGGCCATCAATCGCAAAAGAAAAGAGCCTCGGCACTCCCAGTTCAAACGGTACTACCAGAAGCTCTGGGACACTCTTTAATGTACAGCGTTTAGCAATGCGGTCTGCGATGGCTTCCCACCCTCTCATGTTGGATAACTCACTCTTGCTGCAGAGCGATCGATTCTTGTGGATTGCCGACGCACTCATTCCTATAATTCAACAGGACGGATGAACATCATCTGCATAAGCATTGCCGCGATGGTACTGATGAGTGCGAGCTCATCGGAGGCTGGACCTGCTCGTGCTTTCTCTCAAGGCTATATTAAGGGAGTTTACGGTAGGTTCTTCGAGCTTTCTCAACAGGGAAACTCTGCGCCGTGCCCAATCGTGATCAACCATTTTGAACAAGGCTCACCCAGCGCGAGCGGTCACACCTGGACGGTTCCACATGATAAAATCGTCCAAAACGGAGTGCTGTGCGATGGGGACGGGGACCTAGTACTCTACGCGTACGACCAGAAGTCTCAATCTCCTGCTCCGTTGAAGGAGAACGATATTGCTCAGCAGACCTTCGAGATCATGAAAAACGAATCCACAGGATTCTGGATGGGGATCGATTCCCGCACCTGTGGTAAATGGATCTTCCCTAACCCCTCCTTCATTTTCTTCATACGAGAGTTTGAACGAGAACTGAAATCGTTCTTTAACCTTCAGCTTGCTCCGGGAAAAAAGTATATGTTTGTTGCTGCTCCTACCTTCACATGCATCTACAGTGAGATTCCGAAGCCGGGGGGCGGTTTGGTGCCACCCGCAACTCCCTCCGGCGGCACGGATACAGAGGTTAATTCTGAGGCGACCTCTTCTCCTATGCAAGAGAAACCGATCTCTAACGGTAGTGCAGCTACAAGCAATTTGGTACCGCCTGGAGCACAAGGCAGCGATACTGATGCAAACAGTGCAATCGGTGAACAGAATGAAGTATCGACAACCGGTGACGGACCAACTCCAAGCATGCTTCCCGATGAAAACGAGGAGAATGCCCAGGCAATTACAAACCCAGCATCTCCTCAGGATATATCCATTGTGGACATTGCAAATGGATCCGATGCTCCGTCCCCTGACACGGGTCTAGGGACTGGAAATGAGAGTATTGCAGATATTAATGGGAGCTCAGCAGGCAATTCCGGTGAAGACGCTGAAATCGCAATATCAAGCCCAGCTGAAGACGGGGGCGACGACGGGCTCATTGACGGTACTGGCGAAGCCGATGGTGAAAGTCTTTTCGATTTGGAATCGAATTCCGGGGAGTCCTTGTGTTTCCCTGCTTCCGCAAAAGTGGAACTACTCAACGGCTCTGTAGTGGAGATGCGCAGTTTGACCATCGGAGAGGAAGTCAAGGTTGCCCCAGAGAGATTCTCACGCATCTTCATGTTCACACACAGTTCGGAAGATGGAACCTATTTGTTCGTAAGGATTGGAACAAGATGTGGAAAGAATCTAAGACTGACGCCAGGGCACTTGCTGTACATTAATGGAGCTTTAAAACGTGCATCTGAGGCCAGAGTGGGAGATTTCTTGTTCTCTGGAAACGCGGGACGAGCACAGATTACAAGCGTGTCGTACGTCCATGCTGAGGGTGTATTCAATCCACAAACGCTCCACGGCGATATCGTTGTCGATGGGATTGTTGCTTCTACTTATACAGCAAGTGTCGAGCCTGAGACGGCACACGGACTGCTAGTTCCTCTTCGAGCATTGTGGAAGGTAATCCAGTTGAATGTCTTGGGGTGTCTTTTGGACGCTCATGCAATATCAAAAGAGAGGGTTTCTCTTCGACGACTGTCGTCTGCACCTGGTCTACGGGCAGGGCTGTGACCGACTGGACGAGAATGATTGAACACAGACTTCTGAGACTATGGACATCCGTTGGCAAATCAACGACATCACTGTAGTTTGGAAACAAAGGTGGGGAGATCAAGTGGGGTAATGTAGGGGTGCAGCTCCGCAACACGCTTCGTTTCAGCCGTATTGTAACCCCAAGTGGCAAGGTACAAATCTAGAGGAGTTCCTAATAAGCTCAAAGAGGCGTCCTCAAGGGTATCGTAACGATCCTCCACGAAAACCAACTTCTTCCCTTTGTGTTCAGGGGATGCGAGAATCTTCTTCAAGACGGATATCTTGGATCCGGTGCCATATCCGAAAACGTTTTCCTTTTGTATATTCTTGATTCCATAGCGCTCGAGAAGGAGAAGACAAAATCGGGTCTGCTTCGTTGTGATTATGTACAGCGGCGCGGAAGCAAAATTCAATGCATCAGCCACACCTGGAAAGCTGCCCGGCAAACGCAATGAGATGACGCGACGTAACGATCGTGGAGACAAACACGTCAGTATGCAGCAGTAGGAAATTAGCGCCCAGCAATATTAAAAAGGCATGTATGGGACGTTAGGGCTCGTACATTCGATTAGCATTTACCCAAGAGTCGAGATCTTTCTCGATCCACTTGTCTCTCGCATGACCGAATGCCTCTACTAGATCGTCTTTGGAAACTTCCCAGTCTGCCATCAGGGCTTCCTTAATTGCCTCCCAATCCTCTAGCACGCTTTCAACAAACTTTTCCTGGACGTCATCTTTTTGGATACCCGATAGCCACCGTGCCAAGACTACGTTCTCGTATCCCGTAGAGATGGCCGGACGGACGGCCCGTAGTGCATCGTAAACCCAGTGCGCTGTATTTCCGTCTGGATCGGTCGGGAATGTAGTGTCCGGGAAGAAGTCACAAGCAGCTCGAACAGCAGCGATGCTGCTCTCGCCGACGCTATCACAGATGACCCCGTCAAAGTCGAGGGCATAAACCAAATCGGAAGTCATTTTCGAGAAGAAAAAATGCTAAAGCGGCCTCTTTCTTGTTGGCTCTAGAGTAGGTGGTGATGGACAGGGAGCGCGGCTCTGCGTACGGGAGGTGGCGGAAAACGAACTCGCCCGCCAGGTCAAACAAGGTTACGAATGACCATGCCAGATAGGACAAAGGACTGTGATGCTGTACCCTTGGGTACTGTACAGAGAGCTCGCTCCCGTGGTGACGTCACGAAACGAGTTATGGCCAATCACAAGATGCCTCGCGGATCTGCTCGCCCTCGGTGCCCTCGGTTCCCGAGCCGCATGTCAGCAAATCGAAAGCCGCAACGGTTACCGAGAATACAGGACACGTCGTGAACAGCAGTCGATTACTGAGCTGTATGCCCGCGCAAGCACTGTGCTCGTGTATGGTACATCGTATGGTACATCCCTGCTGCCACTCTCATCACTGTGCAACCGTGGCAGTGAGACGAGTCACATCCTCAACAACGAAAGAGTTCATAAGCCCCGACCGACATCTTCTTAAATTTTGTCTTGCCTGCGATCCTTCCGTCCTTCTGTTCCAATCACCCTGTCCCCTTACTGTCGCCGCACAAGCTGAGCGTGAAGTGCCAATTGCCATCTGCCATGACACTCGCGATCGAAATTCCAAGGCTTTATGGGCTCATCATCCTGGTCGCCGTGCAAAACTGGTTCATCTTAATGTGGCAAGCGCTTCGTCTTGCAAAAGCTCGTAAGGAGCACGATGTCAAGTATCCGACTATGTACGAGAACAAGGAGCCGTCCCCATTTAATTGCGTGCAACGCGCACATCAAAATTCCCTCGAATGGAATCCGGGCTTCCTCTCCTTTCTTTTCATCTCCGGAATCACTACACCAATATTCTCAACTGCAGCCGGTGTTGTTTACAATGTTGGCAGAGTATACTACGCCAAGGGATACTACCGGGGAAACCCGCATGAAGGATTGTGGGGTCTCTACGGCCTTTTTTATCTCGTAGGTGGTGCCTGTTATACCGCTTTTACAATCCTTCGCTCCTAATAACAAACTTTCACTCGCACCAGCTACTTTTTTTGTGCAGTAAACGGAACCAAAAGGGAAGCGGGCAGGGGTCCCAATACCCTTATTCACAAATTTCTTCGAACCGTGCCTGCGATACCAATATCGTCTATTGGCTGATGGGCACGCCAGCCATAACTTTGCCCACAGCTACGCGTATCAGTAGCGCCCGGAACGGGGCATATGCAATCAGCACGGTGCTGAAGATCCCGACCAACGTCATCGCGAGCGCCGAAAACGGAAACGCGGCCCCTTCGTCGCTCAGCGCGGCCGTTCCCAAGCCGTGCGCAGCGGTTCCCATCGACAGGCCACGAACGACGGGGTCCTTTACACGCGCTGCCGATAGAACTGTCGCACCAATACTTGCGCCCAGCAGCCCTGTCAACGCGACCACGCTAGCTGAAAGCCCAACATTGGCTCCCAACAATTCCGCAATCGCTACGGCCAACGGTGCCGTAATCGTCCTCGGAACAACTAGGAGGCGAGAGGCACCGGTCATCTTTAGAGCGCGAGCGGCCACGGCCGTGCCGAACAGAGCCGTGAGTGTGGCAGCGAGCGTAGTGCCGACAACCTCGACGACGCGAGCCAGAGCCAGTTTGCGTTGGGCATCCATGGTGAAGGCAAAAGTGATAACGGCGGGCCCTAGGAGTGTTGCAAGGACATTACCCCCACCCCACGCACCGGCCGTGCGAATATAGTAAGACGACAAAGCGGTCGTGAATCCGAGGCCAGTTGCCGAGCCGAGCAGTGCCATTAGGCCAATAGTACCCGCGGTACAGGTGATAAGCGGGTGGAAAACTGCCTTGAGCTGACGAGGAAGGCGCTGCCCAATGCAAAATGTGAGGACAGTGGCGGAAAGGGCGAAAATCTTAGCGGGTAGGCACGTGACTGAGGCGGCGCGAACGGAAAAAGCAAGTGTCAAAGCGATGATTGCGGCAAGAGATCCAATGAGCATGTTCGATGGAGGGGTGGACGTGACGGTCTGCGAAATAACCTTGGGCGGAGTTCGACCCGTTGTCTTCCGCACTGCAAAGCGCAGGAAGGAGCAAGTGACAGCTGACGAAAACAAAGAGGTAAAAAACCCTGCGACGATGATGAACGCGATCTTTGCGAGATCGGCAGCCGGGAGCTGCGGAGCGAGTGGCAGCATGACGAGATTCGGGACGAAGAAGACGGCGAGCCAGCGGCTGAGGAATGCGACGCCCGGGGTGAAGTAGTGCATGCAGGCCCAGTCGACGGTTTGAGAATGGCCCAGGTAGCGAGTTAGCGAGAGGACGAAAAAAATAAGAAGCATGGCAGCCAGAGGGGCTGGGAAGGTGATGCCCAGAGCGGCGAGGCGGGCGGCCACGAAGGCTTGGATGTTAACGAGGATGGAGAGAGAGACGACTTGAGAGATGACTGTTCGGACGAGCGTGGCCGACTGCGAGGGAGGGGTGGCTTGCGTGGCTGAGGCATGGGGGATGTGGCGGTGGAGTGGCGGAGAGGTGCGGATGGTAGATCGTGCGTGACGACGGATGGATATGCCGGTGGAGAAGGCGGGGCGCTGGTGCGAAGTGGTGGACGAGAATAGCCTGCAGGCAGTAGTGGGAATGGCGGCCGCGTTGATGAAGCAGGACTTCGTCATGAAAGTTGACATGATGGAACGGAGAAAAGTGATGCGGCGAATCTCAATTTCTGCGGGGCGATGAGCATAACACGGAAAGGCGTCGATGAGGAGTTGCACTCAGACCTGGTGCATTTTTGAGCAGCAATGATGTCGAGGGTCTAACCGATCAGGAGAAGGAGCTCGTATGGGGACTGGCTGGCTCCGGGTTATTCAGATGAGGAACGAGATTGGCGATAGGGGCTGTGCGGTACAGTAGGCTGCTGTGCAATCCTTGTCTGGCCAGGAGGGCCCCTCTCCGGGGCGATGGAAATAAGCATAAAACTGGATCATTAAACATGATGCGGACATCCAAACTTCGGGTTTGGATTCCGAACCGATCACAGCGGGTATCCGTTGTGATCATGGGTAGCCTTCCGTGCCACAGCGATTTTCTTCCGCAGCCTGCTCACGCGATTTGCCTCCGATCCTCTGCCACGTGTAATTGCCACGTGTCGCCCCACGCATTCGTCAGATATCTGCTGGCCTTGGCAAATATCTTCAACGGTGAATCCGCCCCCGAAGTCATACCAATCATGGCACGACAAAGCCTCTGATGTTTCTCGTCGCAAATCCCCGCCCTTCAATAATTGTCCGCCGCGGTGCACCTCCCACACCAGCCACTCGCCCCCTACCTCTGACGCCAACGCAGTCCTCCTTTTCGCACACACATCCTCCGCTCACTTGAACCTTCTTCGACGCCCACCGCTTTCACTTCTGGTATTGCCGGCATTACCGACTACTCTGCGAATTCCCCCTCGCCTCAAACCCGCCTCCCTCGCCACCCAACCACGACGATGCCCCGTTCCCCTTGCATTTTCCCCACATTCTAAACAACCCTTCAACATGACATTCCCCTCCCCTACGCCGGCCTTCGCGGCCGCCACGCCAATCTCCGCGCGCCGCCCTCGCGCGCACTTCAATTCATCCACCTCGCGTCCTTCGCGATCCTTCTCGCTTCCTACACTCGGCCGCATCCCGATGTCCATGTCGACGGCGTCCCACGAGCTCCGCCGTCGCATCTCCTCCGTGCAAGCCGCCGAGAAGATTGTCTCCGCCCTGCGCATCGTCGCCGCCGCACGCATCCGCGCATCGTCCGCCGCCGCTCTCCGCACTCGCCCATTTGCCGAGGAATTGCAACACATTCTCGCTTCGCTCGTCCAAGAGGTCCTCACACGGAAAATCGACGTCCACGCCGTAGCCCACGCTACGCCTCCACACAGTCTCTCCGATACACACGGCGCACTGCTCGCCGACCCTGTCGTGCAGAAGGCCCTTCTGGATAAGATTTACCTCTCATTGCTGAGTGATGACGGCGCAGATCGCACCTATGGACACAAGGTCAGGAAGAAATATGCTACCATCGTAACAGTGCTCACCGCTGATAAGGGCTTTTGCGGCCCATACAACAAGCAGATTATCGCGCGTTCTACCCGAAGAATCAAGGAGCTGGAGAGTATCGGGAAACCGGTAGAGCTGGTGCTTGTCGGTCGTACCGCAAAACTCTTCTTCGATAGACATTACCCCAATATCCCTGTGCGGTTCTATAGCCCAATTGGACGTTCCACGGAAGCGGAGAGTATCGCGACTACTCTAAGTCACACCTTGCTCAGTGAATTTATTGCCGGTGGGGTTGATCGCGTTGAGATCATCTATACTCGTTTCGTTTCTCTGCTGTCAAATGCACCGAGCGCGCGCACAATTCTCCCTCTCACTCCCACAGGTCTTGAGGCGGTGGGCGATGAGCTCTTCCAGTTGACTCTAACTACGAAGAATGGGCGACTGACCACACGCCGCTCTCAAACTGCCCAGACTGGTCTTCAGCCACACTCACACGGAAACGGAACATCACACGCTGATGACTACCCCAGACGTTCGAGGTCTTTCTACAGTATAAGTGATGACGAGGCCATCCGACTCTTGAATTCCATGTTACCGATGTACGTCACCAGTCAACTCATCCGTATAGTGCGAGAAGCAATTGCCTCGGAGCAAGCAAGTCGCCTGGCGGCCATGACCGCCGCCACGGACAACGCAAGAGATATAGTTGCTTCGCTTCAAATGCGATATAACAAGGAGCGACAGGCTAGAATTACAGCAGAGATCATCGAAGTGGTTTCCAATGCGAATGGATAGCTTAGCATAGTATAGGCTCAGATGTCATAGTCAGAACAGGATGCCTTGCTGGAAGCGGCTGTTCTTCGAGACAGGCATAACTTATTTCTGACGTTGGCGCTTGATAGCACGCTTGGTATTCCCGAATCGGTTAGCCTTCAGGGGGTTCTGGATGTCTGGGAAATCGGAAATTTTGATGTTGACAGATTCGTCAGTCTCAATACCCATGTCCTCGAATAGCTCCGAGTTTTTCTTGCCCGTTGCCTCTCCGATTTGGTTCACGATGTCCGTTACTATCCTTTTGTACTTCTTCCAAAGTGCACGGACGTTGTAGTAGTCTTTTTCTAGTTTCAGTTTGTCTTCCGTTGTCATGAGTTTCGATCCATCCCCAAGGTCGGCTCTCTTCGCATCCTTTTCGGCGAGGACGTTAGTCAACTTCTCATCCTGAACCTTCGCTTGCTCCAACGTGTACTGACTCTTGAGCATATTGACAGTGGACTGCAGGTTATCGTTTCGTTCTGTAAGGTCAGATACTTCTGCCAACATTGACTTGAGTTCTTCGTCGAGTCGGGTCACTTCCTCCGGGTCCGGAAGCTCGATCTTGTCTTGGGCAAGAATAAAAATTTTAGCCTTTCCATATTCCTTCTTCTTGACCAAGCCCTTTTCGACGAGAGACGCTAGAGAGCGCTCAACGGCGGTCTTCTTTACACCATTCTTTTGCAACGCGTCGACGATATTCTGCACACTGAACGGTCTGTTTTCCTGACGAGTGCGCACGAAAGAATTTGTTCATACGCAGATTATTAGACGTGGGCACTGGATAAAATACAGAGCTGGGTACATGTCAATGCTGAGGCTGACAGACTCACCTTGCTGAGAAACGTGTAGACGATATCTTCTTCATCAGAAGCTTTTTGTTTCGCCTTTGCCATGGTTCAAATGTTCAAGACGACAAGTACGTCCTGAGCAGGTTTGCATGCGGAACCAGAGAGTCCAGAAAATTGGTTCTTACGCGTCTTCCCTTGAAGAAGGATGTAACGCGAAAAGCAAAGGAGTGTACAATTTCGTTTGGCAAGCGTGTCGCAAGAAAACAAACACAATGCCAAAAAATTTGAGGTCAAGGTTTTGGCGGGTGCATGCGAGGTTTTGAGAGTCTTGGGATGCGTGTCTTGGCGGATCGAAAGCTTTCTGCTTTCAAATGTTTTGTACAATGGAGGAAACCCGATCAGGGCACCTGTATTGTACATTTATTCGTCAGTTTTCAATTTAGCTTTACTGTAAATAGTTCGCCCGAACCGAATTAGCAACGTCGAATCTGCATTTTTCGTACTCCATCGAAAGGAGCAGGAGGTGGATCACAGCCCAATCGCAAATTCTGAGGCATTTCCATCGCAAAACGAAATTTCGTCTACGAGGGGCCACCGTCAGCCAGACCAAAAATAAGGCAACTGTCAAATATTTGCATTACAGTACTTTGATATTGCCCATGCCAGACTGTACCCTTGGGTAATTTACTGTAACAGGAGTACAGTCGCAAGCCGGCCCGAACATGCCCTTCCGACCTGCCACACCGGACATTCTTATTCCCGGCTCTGCCGCCGCTCGTAAAATTGTTTCATCCCACTCTTCATCTGAGAAGCTACCCTCCAGGGTACCATTACACCCTCTTTTCTCCCGCTTTTTTCCATGCAACAACTTACCCTTACCCTCATATAACGACACTTCTTCCCCTCAACCGCGACTCTGCTCCTCCGCCAGCCTCCCCACTTACAAACTTCACGCGTGCTCCCGAACCATATCACAACAAAATCGAACTATATCACAACAAAGTCGAAGCATATCTCAACTGCCTTTGACTCGTCCCTCCCTTCTACGGCTCGCCACCGTCTCTATCGTCTGTGTCAAGTGTGCAATTACTTCACAATGTCGCAACGACGCCCGAGCACCGCGAGCAATTCTGTTGACTTGGACCGTCAGCCAAGCATTCCTCAACATCCTTCAGCTTCTTCGTCTCCTCGTCAACGGCGCATGCGTAGCCGTCCGCAACGTTCCCCGCTTAATCGCCCGCTAACCAGTGATGAGAACCTTGATTTTCAAGTTATCGCCATCCCCTCACATCCGGACCCCGAACCCTTCAACCTCAATGCTACAACTGACCCCGCCGACCCTGACTCAAAGGCCAACAGCAAATTGAACATGTCCTCGCTTCGTCTTCAAGGAAGTCGTTCAAACTCAAATTTGGAAACGGGTCCCCCTCCCCCTCCGTTGCCAAACCCAAGGTCCAGCACCAGTGTTGACAACCCTTTCTATGCTGGTGTTCAAAAATACCATCCCAAGTTCGCTGATCTGCTTAGGGAACATGGTATCTTTAAAGCAATTGGCAAGTACACTCTTCGCTTCGCCAAAGACAATTGGGGGATCCTCGTTTTTCTTTGTGTTCTCGCACTTGGGCTGGCGATGCTCGGCATTTTCGCTTTTGACGACATCTCCTGGAAGGCATGGGCTTCCTATGCAATTCTCTCAGGCACTCTGTCCTTGTTGATAACAAACGCTCTTCCCACAGCAGTATCGATGCTGCTGGGTCTTACCGTCATGCTTGTCCTCAAGATTGTTGAGCCTGCAGAGGCTGTAGAAGGATTTTCAAACACTGGTGTGTTGTCAGTTGCCATTTTGTTCGTGGTCGCGGAGGGAATTCAGAGAACCTCTATCCTGGTGCCTATTTTTCGTGTTTTGCTTGGCAAACCCAGGTTCCTGTGGGAGGCCCAGCTTCGGGTAATGTTTCCCGTTGGTATTATCTCTGCATTTCTGAACAACACCCCAGTCGTGGCTATGCTTATCCCTGTCGTGCAATCATGGTCTCGCCGCTCAAGCTTTGCAATATCGAGACTGCTTATGCCTTTGAACAATGCCGCCATCCTTGGAGGCACAATTACTCTCCTCGGTACCAGTACCAATCTTGTGGTAGATGGTTTGGCTCGCCAGAGTGAGTTGCTGACGGATGACAATGGGCAACCCACCGGATTACCCATCTTTGGAATTACGCCTGTCGGAGCAATCCTGTTTGTTGCCGGTGTAGTATATATGCTTGCCACAACTCGATTATTGATCCGCGACCGTGGCCAGACTGGCGTTGGTGCAATCATCCGGAACCCCCGCGAGTACACAGTTGCTCTACTTGTTCAGGAGCGCTCTCCAATTGTTGGTGATACAGTGCAGGAAGCTGGTCTACGGCAACTTCAGGGACTCTATCTGGTTGAAGTGACTCGTGCGGATGGCACCCTTATCCCTGCCGTCGCTCCAGACACAAAGATTGAAGCTGGAGACACGCTGCTTTTTGCTGGAATCGTGGAGACCGTAACAGAGCTCTATCACATCCCTGGGCTTGTTCCCGCAACGGGACAGTCCCAGAAAATGAAAATTGAGAGACACCACAGACGTCTGGTAGAGCTTGTCATTTCCTCATCTTCGATGCTGGTCGGGAAGACTGCCAAGGAATCCAAGTTTAGGTCCCGATTTTCAGCAGCAATTATTGCCGTGCACAGACAAGGAGAGCATGTTAAGGAAAGAATTGCGGATATCACCCTTCGGCCTGGGGATACACTTTTAGTAGAAACAGGTTCCGAATTCACACTTAGATACGGAAAAGACTCAAACTTCGCGTTGGTTTCAGAAGTTTCTGGCTCCCAGCCTCCACGCGAAGACAAGCTCCATATGGCAATCTCTGCACTGATTGCAGTAACCATGATTGCTCTGGCAACGGCAGAGGTTTTGCCGTTGCTCAGCGCCGCGGCCGGTGCATCGTTTTTGATGATAGCAACCGGTTGTCTATCGATGCGAAATGCCGCTCGCTCGGTTGATCTCGAAGTCATTATTACCATCGCCGCCAGTTTCGGAATCTCGAAAGGTATGGAAAAGACTGGAGCAGCCGAACAGTTGGCCAACTTCATTGTTAATATCTTTGAGCCGATTGGCCCCATCGGCCTGCTTTTCGGAATCTATATCGGAACAGCTCTGTTATCCTCCGTGATTACAAACAATGCGGCTGTTTCTCTTATGTTTCCAGTCATCACCAGCATTCTGAAAAGCAAAAAGTCTAGCCAAGGTGAGACTCTCAAACTGTTGTACACGCTTATGATTGGAGCATCGTCAAGCTTCTCGACACCAATCGGATATCAAACCAATTTAATGGTTCATGGACCTGGCGGATACACTTTCATGGACTGGGTTATTTTTGGGGTGCCTCTGCAACTAATTCTTGGTGTAGTAGGGGTATTTACCATTAATGCTCTGTCATTCAAGGCGTAGTAGTGGAAGCTTTGCTAAGACAGAAACCTCAGACCAGTTTTTTGATGATTTGAACTAAAAGAGTCTACATGAAGTCCCGCCTGTGATGCCGACGCTGCTTGGAGAACCTTTTAGTTCTGTGTCGACAGAACGCCCTGAGAGTCAACATGATGGGGCCTGCAACATACGATGCTCGGTGCCCGTCTCTTCATTAACTGCTAGCTTAAAGGAGTACCATCACGCTAAAATATTCTCTTGCCTGGCGCCTGGAGCGTAACAACAGGGCAGCCGGCTGTACATTTTTGCCGATTTTCAGGGCCTGGCCTTCCGAAGTACTTGTTGTTGCGATGAAATCCAACTCTATCCTGCAGCCCTCTTGCAAAAGACCGCGTCAGTAGCGCTTATCATTTAGCAAACAATGTTGTCGTCGAGAAGATCAGAGGCTTACTCATATACTTGCTCCGCAACGCAATCCCCAATGCACTCAAGCAAGTTATGTCACTCAACCTGGTTCGCAGCTGCCAGTTCAGCCCACAACAGTTTCAGACCCGCGTTATCGCCTTCCTGATCTGACGCCTCTACCTTATGATACAAACGACTGGACACTGAGTCCTCCATTTTCTGTGGTGAAGAAAGATCCTGTCTTCCATGTGATGCTGGTCTATCCAGACTAAAAACTGGCTTCCCTTCGGTAAAAAGCTGAAAAAATCGCTCAACCTCAGAGCTCTCAAGCGGTTCGGATTCTTTCAAATAGTCGGCTCTCTTCAGTCCACGAGACTGTTGTTCATCATTGTGTGGCGGTGTTCGATTACTTTCAGACTTTTTTCGATAGCTCCCAGTGGCTGTTTCGGTATCAGTTGGTAAATCACATGACAACGCTTGAGATCTTATCGTATCAAAAAACGACAAAACCGTAGAATCTAGCTGCTCATTGTTTTCTGTCTTGTGAATGCCTATGGGTTCAGGATATGAATCAATTGCAGGCTGAGGAGACGCAACCCCCTCTATGGCGGCCTCTGTTAGTGGTACTGCCATACGCCCAAACCACTTTTGCAGCTCGTCGACATCTTCCTCTGGCAACTTTTCTCTCCCAGAATGCTCCCCGTCTGATGGTCGTTCTGTAAGCCATTCCGACACTGCTTCTGCCTTCGGAGTGCGTTGTCTGGTCGGGAACGTAATCTCGTGTTTGTTTTCGCTGAGCGGCATCGTAGAAGCCTCCTGAGCAAGTCTTTTCGAGAAGTCTTCAAATGATATGTCAGAGGCAATAGTATATTCAAAAGTGGGGCGATCCAAATGTGGTATTTGAGCGCATTCTTCAGTGCCTCTAGCAACGTCGGGATGATTTTCACATATGGACGAAGGCAACACAGGGCTCATCACATCCGCGGCCAGTCCATCAGATGTTAGCAGAGGATCAACAGCTTCGACGTTCGCAACCGAATTTGTATCGGTACCCGAAGCCCCTTGTCTATATGCCATGCGAGAGGCAAAATTGGCGCTCATGTTCGGACCGCGGCATATCCTGGATTTGAAAAATGCTTCTCTAGCGGCATTCGTTGAAGCCCTTGATGCTCTAGTGGAAGTATTTCTTTGAGTGTTGGGAGGACCAAAACCAGGAGGACAAGAGGATTGAGGTGAACTTGCCTTTTGATATGTCAGTAAATGTGAGCGCGGAGAACCCAGGGGACTAGGCGATCGCCTGTTGTTGTCGATCCTCCCCGACGACTTTTCCGCTTTGCCAGGTGAGGAAGGATTTCCCCATAGTTTGCCTTCCGTATTCCCTATGCTTCCTATGCGGCTTCTATCCGTCTTCATAGAGAAACGGTTTGCAAGGTCGAAGCGTTTAGGAGGTGGCGATGGGGACCTTCGCGAGGAAGAGTAACCATTGCCAGCACCACGACTTGATCGCGAGAACATATCTCTTTCGAAAGATCCGATCGGGGTTGACTCAGATGATTTGGCCCCCTCGTGATGCGAGGGAAGACCAATTCCATGTGAATGTGCGGCTCTATGTATAGTATATTCACTAGGGCCCGAAGAAGGCGATGATGTCGGGGAAGAGGTTAATGCAGGGGTATGCCTCTCTCTTTCAGAAGCAAGTACTCCAGAAAACATTCTCAAAGCCCATCGATGCCCAGCTTTTGAGCAAAATACGGGGCCCAGCTTCAGCCTTTGTGCTTCAGACAGAGAGCTTTCATCGTCAAGAGTGTCTCGCAAATCAAGAAGCTCCTGGTTCGAGTAGCACCTTCTAGTATATTCACTAGGGCCCGAAGAAGGCGATGATGTCGGGGAAGAGGTTAATGCAGGGGTATGCCTCTCTCTTTCAGAAGCAAGTACTCCAGAAAACATTCTCAAAGCCCATCGATGCCCAGCTTTTGAGCAAAATACGGGGCCCAGCTTCAGCCTTTGTGCTTCAGACAGAGAGCTTTCATCGTCAAGAGTGTCTCGCAAATCAAGAAGCTCCTGGTTCGAGTAGCACCTTCTACTCGAATGTGATGGAGGTGGCTTTAGCGTGGTGGAAAGAAGAGCAAGCTGGGGTGATTGAGACTCAAGCAAGCCGCCGTACATTTTTGGAGAGTATCAGGTCGGGATTCAAAGAAAAGATAAACCTCGCACTCGCGCTTTGGCCCAGGGAATGGTGCCGAACCAGTAAGTGAGACCCTGACTTATAATGGGCCACAATTAATAAATGAGTTGCGGCAATCACGTCGGTCGCCAGAGAAAAGAAGTGCGATTAAGGACGACTGAGCTGCGAACATGGACGACTGCGGAACGGAGGGTCAGGTTCTTTTCAAGGGAGCCAGAACCGTGAAAACACAATCCTTCCCAGGTGCTCGGTAACAGTGCCACTAGACTAGACGTGCGCCTCTGCCCGGGCGTGAGGTGGGTGTTGTGGCGGTTCTCTTCTGCCAACAGGGTGTCCCTCTGCCCTGTGATATGCGCGTCTTGACGAAAACAGTGAGAATACAACGCTGGTCCAAGTAATTGTCAAAGAGAAGGGGAACAATGTTCTCTACAGCTGAAATTCGATGTTCCTTTGCGAAGTTTTTGTCGCAGGAGAGGATTGGTGCCGTGGACTGCTTCTGCGCCAGAAACTGATGGACAAGACGAGGCTGGGGGTTCCACTCAAGAGCGGGTTTGGGTTGTTCACGAATCTTGGCGGAGATAAAATGAAAAGTGAAGGGCGAAGTGATTCGAAGAACAGCAGAGGGTGGGGTAACCGTGTGGGTTTCACCTGAGTTGGCTCTCGTGCTGAGTGATTCCAGCCGAAAGGATTGACGGACGAGCGGATGCTCCAACTGATGCAAAAATAGTCGAAAACAGAGTTGCTTTCTATTCTCAGGAAATCTGAGAAAAATAATATCCGTCGGTATTTGCTTTCTACCTTCTTCGGTTTTGCGAAGCACCCTTTTCTCTCGCTGCACTGCGCCCTATTCCGCCCTATTCCGTGAAGCTGCTTTACTGTACGACAGTACAGTAGTTTACTGTACGACAGTACAGTAGTTTGCTGTGTAAAGAAGGATCCAAGTCGGCTACAGGGTTTCAGGGTCATTTTTGAGAGAGTGCCATACTGTGCCCTTCTCACTGGGGCATTTTGGAACATGGGGAATTTTGAAACACCCCTAATTTTGAGACCAGCCTGCGTAGCGTTCCACCTTTCATTGCCCCTGCAGATCTGCGGTTCCTATGGAACCTGTATCCACAAACCGCACTCCAGGACACGACTGAACGCGCCATTGACGACGCGCATAGGCACCATGCCACCATCTATGCGAGCGCAGTCGCTAGCACACAAGCGAAGAATAGCAAACGCCCATATTGAACGACAGCGGCGCCACCGAGCGCTGGATCTCCTCAAAAAAGGATACAGCATTCGGAAGACCGCTTCGCTCAGTGGTGTATCCAACACAACAGCTTTTCGTATCAAGAAAACCTCACTACAGGGGACAATGTAGCGCTGAAAAACTGCTTGACCCCCTAAATTATCGACCAGGCCCTGCTCAGATTATATCACGTCCAGAAGAAGAGCTTGTTGTTCAAAGGGCACTCGTCGGCGCAAAGAAAAGCTTCGCAATCGATAACAACGACCTGGTCTCAGTTTTTGGACAAATTAGCAGTGCCAGTCGCCAACCGTTTCGGCGAAGTGTTCCATCCCCGGACACAATTCGTAGTTTCAGAGCCCGTCATAGATAGCTCGCGTACAGGGTCTCCGTAAATGTTTCTGCCGCACATTTAGCTGCAGAAAATGTATCGCACATCGGAAGTCTTGAAACCGTACTCCAGACCGTGTGTTCAGAATTCCGAGAACTCAAAAATGACCCCAAACTAATATGGAACTTTGACAAAACGGCAGTGCTTGGATAGTACGGCAAAAAATAAGGTGTTATTAAGCATCGCAGGGCTGTAGCGGAGGAGCCCGTCTTGCTGTTAGAGACGCCGGAAAGCATCTATCAGCTGGTATTGCCATTGCTGCAGATGGTAATGTTGCCCCTATATTCATACTCGCATCTGGAAAATTTTATGTCAAGCTGGAAGAAGCCATTACCAGAGGAAGATTTTACTGACCATGATGGGAATTTTCATTGGCTTTGCCATGATGATTGGTGGCCTGAGAAAACTACGCTTTCTGTAACAAAAAAAACCCAATGATAGAACAGTAATTGTCGATGTCATCAAACACATTGACACTCATGCAAGAAAAACCATACCCCATTCGAAGAAAAATTTTCTTTTGGGTGATGGACATAGCTCACGTCAAAGTCAAGAATGGATCACTGAATGCAGAAGGCGAAATATCATAGCCGTTAAACTTCCAGCCAACACTACACATGTCCTGCAACCATGCGACCAATCAGTAAATCAGAAATTCCAAAGGGAGATCAGGAGGACAAGGGACCAGCTGTTGGCAATAAGTCACTTCTCCTGGACGAATACTGCAATGAAAGTAAAGTTCGCAATTGCGGGACACAAAGCCGTGACCTCAGATGTGGCGAGAAAATCATTTCAAGAAGCAGCCATATGGCCTATGAATTTTCAATTCATGAAAAGATTCGATAATGCCCCTCCTGGATCATCTCCAACACACTTAATAGATGCACATGAACCTCGAGCAGACACTTTTGGGGTATCGGAGGCTTCAAAGTATCCTCGTAGACAAGCTGCATGTGTTTTGACCGACAGAATCAAAACACTACTGAACAGCGGCATGACGGCAACACTTGCATTGGGTGAAATTGCTGTTTTGATGAAAACTTCTTACGTTTTGAACAATATACTGTCTCACGCCAATTCCCCTTCACCGCGAGCGGGCAGCAAAACAAACTGGAGAAGGGTCAGTGTTGAGCCCAATTCTGCACTGCTTCTCACGAATCGATCACTCACGTGCAATGAAACCATGAATGACTACGGACCGGCTACGGATATGGAAACAGCTGCGGGAGCCCCAAAAACACTCTTGGCTACCTTCACATCAACGATGGAGAATGAAAAAGAAAATACACATCCCAATATTCCTCTGTTCGTGGAGCCGCACGTTGATGCTACTGTACAACGGTTGGAAAAAGCACGGTGCGTATGATAGTAAGACAGGTGGACACGTGGAGTCAATTACAGTAGCAGATGGGACCGCTGTAAGGCCAGTCGGGCCGGAGGGGGCACGCTCCACTGCGGACAGAAAGTGGCGGTGCCCAACGGGCATGACACTCAACCGGGCGCAATTCTGCCTAGAAGTACCTGGAAATAGGGAGGAATGCAGGGATTGCGACAGACGGGTTGTGTTGGAATGAAAATGTGGCTTGGCAAAGTCCCTCAGCCATGCTGGACGTGGAGGGCGAGAAAGTTGGGGCGAAGAGGGAGGAATGAAGGGGCACAGCTATCTATGCAGATAGTGTTCAAGTACTTATCTTTCTCTAGCGAAGAAGAAGAAAAACCCTGATACGCCTAGTTTCTGTATTGCTTAATTAAAGCGATACGGAAGCCTCAAAGGCTCCCATTCCTCTCAATCTCTTTGTTTACTGTTTCTTCCCGGTTCTCTACCCTCTACCGATCCCCCTTCACCGCGCGACGAGAGGCGACGTGGGTTCTGCTCCGCCAGGTTCATTAGCATCAGTCTAACTACATTCCGGAATTGTCAGCTCACACTCGTGGACTGTGAAAAGGCTGGAGCACCATGTCGAACCCGGAGGCACCTCATGGCGCTACAGAAGACTCGATTGACGCGACACCGCCAACGCCAACGATCGAGGATACAGCACACCATGTGTCCGCTCCTCCGACTGTCAACTTGACGCATATTCCTGCGGCCGTCGTAGAGGAAATGATGCAGAACGTCAAATGGAGGCCTGATGACACTAGTCCGAAACAAGCCTACGTGTTTCAGTGGATGTGCTCAGTGATGCAGAAGGGATATGTTGGGGGCGCGCTCCAAGAGGCATACACCGACCTACTTCCTCCAGAGACTCTGTTCTCTAGAGAGGTTATACACGGCTCGTTTGCACCACAGATGTACAAGGACTTGCGAGATCTCATCCACGATAGACAGGGCGGAATTGAAAAACGCAGAGGGCTGCAGATAAAGCGTGCCCTCAGCGAGTACTATAGCGACCCGCAGTCCACCCAGGATGCAACCGACCTCGCTCGTGAGGCTGTGGAGCAAGAGATCGCGACATTGTCGTCACGCCGTATCGAGTATGCAAGAAGTTCTTCGCGATCAAGCGACGACGGCAGAGGAGGAGTAGAGCAATATTCTACTGCATACTTGCAGCCAACACAGGCTACCGCACCAGCCAGAATGTATCTACAGAGACGCACTCAGGAATTGGACTGTCCAGCGCCAGTTGACACCACGAACGCAGACGCCGGATTTCAAGAGGGGCCGTTTAGAGTCGTACCTCCAGGTGCCCCAACAGGTACCCATGAGACGTACACTGCTCTCCATCGTCGAAATGCCAACAGGCAACAGCACCAATCCGCCCAGCACGCCACGACGTCAACCACCGTATCCCCACATGCCGTTTCCGTCCTTAGCAGGCTTGGGACGAGGTTCAAGGATCGCAGTGACAAATTCGGGGGGAATGATGGGGAAAATTGGGAGGACATATTCAGCTCTTATATGAACTGTGTCACCCAGTGGGGCGTGCCGGAACACGCGGCATTGAGGAACGTGGAGAATATTCTGGCTGGCCAAGCCCGGACTTACTACAAACGGAAGGTGCAGGCGAATCCAAGGTTCTTCAAAAACCTGGAAGAAGTGAACGTCTTTATGCTCAGTATTTTTCATGGCGAAGAAGCACAGGAAGCTACACTAGAACACTTAAATGCATTGTCGTTGTACGATCTAGCGCAGGAAAAGGGATCCCTCGCGGAAGGTCTCAAAGCTGTACGAGCAGAGATCGTGAAACATGGGAACCTTGTGCCAATTGAGCGCCAGACTGACCAAGACCAAAGGCGTTGGCTGAAGCAGGCAGTGCGCTCGTTTAAGTGGACGAGGGCAACCACAGCTCGCGCCCACGAGTTGGATTTTGCCAAGTTGTACAGTACCTTAAAGTGCCAGGCAATTGAGGAAGATAAAGGGCGTGAGATGCGTGCAGAGCGACGAGATAGCCGAGCTAGAGTAGGCGACAAGAGCCTAGGGAGGCGTGTTCTCTTTGGAGACGTG